GGACTTCCGGGGAAATAACAAGCGTTGCCGGGGAAATAACTCGCATTGCTAGAAACCCCGTTTGTTTACTGATTAAAGTAGTGATTATAAGTTGTAAACCCCCGTCATGCGATCATATAGAAACGTGGAATAAGATTAATTAATATCAATGCCATTGTAATCTTTATAATATTTATTCCCCGTCTCAGTATGACCGCATGACGGGGATTTTCGTGTTATTAATCATAATTTTTATCACAGATTTATTTCTTTTTTTCTTAGTTATTTTTCCCAGGCTTATTAGTTATCTCACCGACTTTTTATTTGTTACTTCCCGAAATTTTAAAAATGTAAATGAAGACAAAGAAATGTGATAGAAATGATTAATAACATGAGTCCTTGTCATGTTCATATAAAACGGTGAATAACTCATTTATTCCACTGGTCGGGAAATAATTGAAACATTTCCCAGCGGCGCACTTATGGGGCGCAAGCGCCCCACATATGCCGCTGGAGAGATATTTCATTGTTCCCGCCGACCCGGGGAATAAATAGTATTTACAAGAAATTCAATATTTATTATTTGAAAGGTTCTCTAAAAAGTTTTCATAAATTTTTTATAAAAAAATTTTTTTAAAATGACATTTATCTATTGCTTATTTAACAATGCATAGATACCTACGTACGTAAAGCATGAGCATTAAAGTCTGCATTTTTAAATAAATTGAGAAATTTGTAAAAAAGATTTTTTTAAATATATGCTTGTAATTTATCATTCATTAGTACAGTACAATGATATTAATTAATAGTTGTGTAATATAAATAAAAAAAAAACCAGACTGTATTCGTACGTACGTACGTACGTACGTATGTATGCTTATTAATGGGGGAACGCTAAAACCAGGTACAAGGTAGGGTTACTTTTTTTGATGCAGTTATGGTTAATGGGTTATATAGATATCAAGAATACAATTTATGCAGTATGTATATTTACAGTATTACAAATTACAAGTATAGGGTTTTTTATTTGCCACATTTTTTTTTATATAAAGTAACGAGTAAACTCCTATAATGGAATGCTTTTTTGCGATTCCGTGGTACGAGTAAGAAATAATCCGGTCCGACAATCTCGTCATATGGGGCATTTGCTAGGAAAATCACTTGCAAATGGCTCATATGGTTGGATAGCAAGTAATTTGACACAATAATCTTAAAAAGTAATTTAAATAACTGATAAATAGTTGAGACCAGTGTTCGAAATTGGTGTTCTCAGAGTTCTCATGAGATCACTATTATGAATTTGTGCACAGTATAAATTTTTTACTGTTCACTATTAAAATATTTTGTGAACAGTAAAACAATAAAAGTGTTCTCATCTATAATATGTATATTCTAATATAGGCTTTTTTTTTTGTTGTTGCGAACATAAAACAATATTTTGAGAACACCTATAGTTATTGTACTGTTCTCATGAGAACAGTGTTTGAGTCTGAAATTTCGAACACTGGTTGAGACCTAAATCTCTACACCACTGTTATAAATTAGTCATTTTAACTAACTTCAGTTTTCAAATTTTATATAAAATACCTCTCCATTCCTTTGAATATGGGGAGGAATCCATATACGAATTAAATCCATATACAAATTAAAATTTTCTTTAAATACAAAAATATAAAATTAAGTAAAATTACAATGACTAAAGCTTTGCTGCAAATAAAATAAATCGCCTACCGACAATGAAAAAAGAGGAGGAAGAGAAAGAAGAAGAGGAAGAGAAAGAGGAATAGGAAGAAGAGGAGGAAGAAAAAGAAGAAAACGAAGAGAAAGAAGAAGAGGAAGAAGAGGAGGAAGAAAAAGAAGAAGAGGAAGAAAAAGAAGAAGAGGAAGAAGAGGAGGAAGAAAAAGAAGAAGAGGAAGAAGAGGAGGAAGAAAAAGAAGAAGAGGAAAAAGAAGAAGAGGAAGAAAAAGAAGAGGAAGAAGAGGAGGAAGAAGAGGAGGAAGAAAAAGAAGAAGAGGAAGAGAAAGAAGAAGAGGAAGAAGAGGAGGCATTTTGAGCGAAATTCGAAATCTGCCAACGATATTCTAATAAACGAAATCCCGGATCAAAATACCAAAAAAAGAGACATTCAAGCAATACTGTATTGAAATCTATTAAAGATGAAAATTATTACGACAAGATAACCTTAATTCAGCTTAAAACACCATCTCCTGTAAACGGTTTTCTGTTATAGCCAGAGATGACCGGGCAAGGACAGAGTGGATTATCTGTCAATATGGAAGAGAAGAGCACATGCTTTGTTTTACTTCATAAAATCAACTTTTATTAATCTTTCGGTTACAAAAGCTATAATCATAAACGATCTATTCTATCTAGATATTTCAATGGCTTCTTATTAAGGTCGTAATTACAATTTCAGATAACGTTCCCCCAGATTCTGCGTGCGTGCATAAGTATGTAAACATATATACTTTGAGTGAATTTTAGTTTGTTAAAATGGTAAACATTGATCCTACTATTCCCGTCACGAGCAAGACCCCAAAATGCCTTTATGATTTACCGTTGAGGAATGTAACTTGACAAAAAAATTTTATCGTTGCATTTTATTTCATTATTAATCGGTCATTCAAAGAAGTCTTTGATCCAATCCATTTCTTTATCTATATGGATGTTAGCTTTCATTTCTCAAGAAAAAGTCTTAGCGTTTAACTTCACTTAAAATCGACTATTCACCTAGTTTTAAGGTTTTTTTTATATAATTTTCGGTTCTACAAAAGCAGCCTAAATGTTCTGCAGTCGTTAAAGCGTAAATACACTAAAAAAGATTTCAAAACAAAGAAATATTAATTTGTAAAAAGTAAAAACAAATAAGAAAGAAGTCTGATGCATATATTGATATCAACGGCATTATAATCTTCTTTATCATCAAGAAATTCAATATTTATTATTTGAAACATGAGCATTAAAGTTGCATTTTTAAACAACTTCTAAATTGAGAAATTTATAAAAAGAATTTAAATATATGCTTGTAATTTATCATACGTACAATAATACAGTACGATGATATTACAAAAATCAGACTGTATTTGTATGCTTTAATGATCGGAGAAGTTACACGAAACTAACTACCCTGGTGCGCCAACAAAACACTAATTAAATTTTCACTATCACGTGTTGGTCGACAGAAGTCAGCCAATAGTAAATTATGAATTTTTATATAACGTAACACGATCGGGAAAACCCTTCAATTTTACTATTAGAATCACTAAATTCTAGCTTTCATATAAACATTAACCCGAACATAAATGAACTTTAAAATTTTTGTCGATTATCACGTGACAGTGAAGTTTTGTTGGCTCACGAAACTGATGCAAATCATTCAACGAAACTGATGTAAAGTTTGTATGCCTATAATGGAAAACCTTTTCTGTGTAACATAAGAAACTGATTCAACGAAACTGATGTAAAATTTTGTATGCCTATAATGGAAACCATTTATTGTTGCGTAACAAATAATCAATTTTGTATACAACGTGTTACGTAAATAATCAACGTAAAATTTTGTATGCGATCAACGAAACTGATGTAAAATTTTGTATTGTATTACGTAGAGAATAATCAACGAAACTGTGCAACCACTTCTTGTTACGTAAAGAATAATCGACGAAACTGATGTACACAAATAATTCCCCGTAATTAGATAAAATTTTATCGTTATCGTTGGCCGTAAATCAGTCATTTCAACTAACCTCTGCTTTCAAATTTTATATATAAATGCCTTTCCGTTGCTTTTGCATATGGGAAGGATCCATACACAAATTAAAATTTTCTTTATATATATATATATATAAAATAAAACTACAATGACAAAAACTCTTTTTCTCGAATTTGCTTCAAATAAAATAAATGCCTTACCAAAAACGAAAAAAGAAGAGGAAGAGGAAGAGGAGGAAGAAGAAGAGGAGAAAGCATTTATTCGAACTTTGAAATCTGCTAATGATATTCTAATAAACGAAATCCCAGATCAAACTACCAAAAAAAGACAATCACGCAATACTGTATTGAAATCCATCAAAGATGGAACAAGATAACCTTAATTCAGCTACCAAATTGCATAAAAAATTTGACTACCACTATATGGGATCTTTGCTAGGAAAATCACCCTTCGACATTTTCCGATCGGGTTAATTCGGACAAATTCAAACCAATATA